CACAGTGTACTTATCTGTTTCTTGTTTATGGCCATTTTTATATTTTGAGCTTGTTTCTATTATAAACAATGTTGCCATGGTATTTTTTATGTATTTTATGTATTAATGTAAAAAATCGTAAGTTTCGAAGTTCTGATACTTACCTAATAGCTTTTTTCCCATCTTATTTTCTTAATGCAGTTACGTTGATGATTTTTTAAAATGTTTTCTGCTTTGTAATGTAGGTATTTCAAAGTGTTGATTCAAGAAATGGATTTAAGATTAGATCTTGGGTTTGTCTATGCTTTAGCAGACCTTATGACAGAAGCCGAGGTGACTGAAAAAACTGAGGTAAGACTTAAAATAATAGCATTTGATGGGAAGGATTAGGGAAAGAGGAAGACTAAAAAAAAAAATGAAATCATTATATATTTTTGAGGTATTTACTGGCTTCATTCCATTTTAAAAATACAGCTTAAAAAATGTTATTCTGTTGTTGTTGAGTACATTGATAGAAGTTAAATATCTTGGTCATACCCCTCATTTCTAAATTATTAATCAAAGCAAAAGCAAAGCAAAAATAATCCAGGAAAAGACGTGAACATGATTGGTTATCCTTTTCTCCCTACTATTGGCCCCAAACCTTTCTTCCTATTTGCAATTAATAATTCACGTTAAAAAGGCAATTTTACTTGTCTTGTTTCCATCTTCTATCATGTGAAAATGTAATTTCAGACTGTCTTTGAGTCTAGCCATCCTAGTAGGTGTGAAATAGTTTTTCATTGCAGTTTTGATTTGCAATTACCTGATGACTAATGGTGTTGAGCATTTTTTGATATGTTCATTTGCCATTTGTATGTCTTAATGGAGAAATGTCCATTCAGATCCTTTGCCTATTATTGAGTGGGTTATTTGTCTTTTTATTGTTGAGTTACAAAAGTTCTTTATATAGTCTGGATACAAGTCCCTTATCAAATATATGATTTTCAAGTATTTCCTCTCATTCTGTGTGGTGTCTTTTCACTTTCTCGATGTTATCTTTTGAAGCTCAAAAGTTTTTAATGTTAATGAAATACAAATCATTTTTTCTTCTATTCCTCCTGTGTTTGGTGTCATTTCTAAGAATCTTTTGATGAATCCAAGGTCAAGAATATTTAGCCTATGTTCTGCGAGTTTTAAGTTTTATCCCCTACAATTAGGTCTTTGACCCATTTTGAATTCATTTTTATTTATACTGTGAGGTATAAGGGTCCAAACTGTTCTTTTGCATGTGGCTATCCAGTTGTTCTAGTACCATTTCTTGAAAAGACTATTTATTACTCATTGAATGGTCTTGGCACCCTGTTGAAAATCAGTTAACAATAGACACATAGCTTTATTTCATTGATCTATGCATTTATCCTTGTGCATACCATGCTATCCTGGTTATTATTGCCTTGTCAGTTTTGAAATTGAGAAGTGTGAATCCTCCTACTTTGTTGTCCTTTTTTCAAGATTGTTTTGGCTATTCTGAGTCTCTTGCAATTCCATATGAATTCTTCAAACTTGAAGAACTGGAAAAGCTGGTCTTCTGAAAGGGGTTGCAGTGAATTCTATAGATTAATTTGGGGGGTTTTGCCATCTTAAGGTTTGCCAGTATTAAGTCTTCTGGTCCTTGAACATGACAAGTTTCCTCATTTATGAAGATCTTTAATTTCTTTTAACAATGTTATATAGTTTTCAGAGTAAAAATTTTGCATTTCCTTTGTTAAATTTATTCCTAAATATTTTATTCTTTTTATAGTATTATGAGTGAAATTGTTTTTTAATTTCATTTTTGGATTGTTCCTGTCAGTATATGGAAATACAATTGATTTTTTTATATTCAGTTAAACCACTAATCACCTAATGCAAAATTATTTTCAATGCCACCTTCTTTTTATTATATTATTGGCCTCTGTAGGTTGCATTAAGGCAGTAGTACCATAATGTTATGAGTTTATGTTATGAGTTTATGTGTAAAGAAACAGATATTTCCAAGAGAGCTTGATGGAATGAATTAGTGACATTTTAGAATAAAATTTATAGTCACATGAAGAAAATAATGATCCAATATCAATATTGCTCATGACTGGAAAGTACTGCCTCAGAAGGGAAACTATCAAACTATGGAAGAGTTCTGGATATGATAGAAGAGTTTCTGCAGTGTGTGAACTATTGGCTTAAATATCTCATGCAAATAGGTCCCCTCAGTTTTTAATATTTTGTGTTCCTTTTATAGGTTGAACTTTTTCATAAAGATATAGAAGCTTTCAAAGAAGAATATAAAACAGTTTCATTAGTAGATCAATCACAAGTCAGTCTCTATGAATATTTTCATATATCTCCTATCAAGGTATGGGAAAAATAAGTCATTTTTATTGTTCTTGATAATCTAGGTAGTATCACATTGATTTGATCCACTTGGGAAGAATATAGCATTTAAATTATATTCTTTAATAGTATATAAAATCTTTATATACTTTACAATGTATACATGTAACTTTACAATTACAAATATAAATAAACAACATAAGAATGATCCTTTTAAATTTTTATTTATTTTTTCTCAAAATAGTTTTTCACTACGTGGAGCCACCTACAACATGTATTTATATGTTTATAATTTGGCCTGTCATTATTTTACTTTGATTTTTTCTTAAGCTGTTTGGTGACAATTTTCAATATTTTGTGTATGATATGTGTATTAGTTTTAAATTAACTTATAAAGTAGTCTTGATTTAAGAATTAAAGATTGGAATGAAATCTAAGTTTTTAATGCAAAATATTTCAGTTAATTAAAGAAAATTGTGCAGCCATATGTACAGAATATATATGCACTATAATACAAAAGTGCTTTTTAACTGGCTTCATCATACTGACTTAATTCTAATAGTTAAAACATATACTTTTTGGAGGTACAGATGCTCCTCAACTTACAATAATTGATACTCATTGTGTTGAAAATCTTGTAAGTCGAAATGCACTTAATATACCTGACATGCCAGGTGTCATACTTTGCCTAGCTACCTTAAACATGCTTGAAACAGAGTCTGTATTGCTTTTACATCATCATAAATTTGAAAAGTCGTAAGTTGAACCATCATTTAAGTTGAGGACCAATTTGAGTTATTTTCAACAGCTTCAACTTGATTGTTAATGTTGTCAATAAATTTATAAAAACTAATATTTTCTTAGGTTTACCAAAAGAATGGGATTGAACCAAATATCATATAATTTTAAATTGTTGAGTTTAAAATTTAATTATAAAGCTATGTTAGATGTTAAATTCCTTCATGTTTCCACTTATTAATTTTGGCATAATCCAGATAACTTTGAAATCTTATTTATGGTACAGTGAATCTAAAATGAAGCTGATTTTTAAGAGTTAAAATCATCAGTATAAAGAAAGCACTTTTAAATACTTATCTCTTTATCTTTTTAGTTGCATTTAAGTGTTTCACTGAGTTCGGGCAGAGAAGAAGCTAAAGATTCAAAACAGGATGAAGGACTGATTCCAGTTCATTCTTTAAACCTTTTGCTGAAGAGTATTGGTGCCACTCTTACAGATGTACAAGATGTAGTTTTTAAGTATGTTAAATACTTAAATCTATAAATTGATAAAAAGTCTATTTTATGTTTACCTAAAAGTTTTGTAGATGAAAAAGTTTGAAGATTGCAGATCATATGCAAAATGTGGTTTTTACCTTTAAATGGACTACAGTCTAAATAACACCAAATATATTACCTACCAACCTTTAATTACTAAATTATAGAATAATTAGTAAATAATTTCCTTCAGACAAAGGCACGTAGGCCCTTCAAGTTTATGCATTTTAGAAGGTCTTTTTGGCCTAGGGAAGAACTCCTAAAATGTGTATGTCTGAAAAGTGTGGTGATTGAAATCTAAGGCTTTGAAGCCAATAGGATTGAGATTCTTCAAAGCATAGGCAACTAGAACACAATGAATGCAATAATAGGGGAAATGAAGGGATCAGTTTAAATGTTATAGTTAAGAATTTATATTTAATGTGAGTCATAATGGAACCTAATAGAGTATCTAACCAAAGAGACTCAAAGTCTGAGTTGAAACTTTAGAATGCTAAATGCTTTAGATGCTACTTTTCAGGTAGCATCTAGAACTGATTATTAAGTATTATAGTAAGAATTAGTAAGTCCAATAAGAGGTAACTCTGAACTTAGATAAGGTTAAATAAGTGTCAAATAAAAGAACATAAATTTTATGACAGCAGGAAAACGATGAAATTTCTAATCTTGTGGTTGTCATATTCAGCAATAAGAAACAGTTAGTGGATCAGGTATATGCTGTGAATCAGTTATAAGTAAGCTGATCTTGACTCCTCAGCCCTCAGCCCATTAGGCAGGACCTGCAGCAACTCAACACTGGCCATTGAACAACCTCTTCTATTTACCTCAGTGTGTTGAGCATTTTCTATGTGGGCCATGATAGGACAGAGTTGAGACATACAGTTCTAGGGATCCATGAATGTGATCCATGGGGTCTCTGAATGCCCTAAATTATATGAAAAGTTGTGTGTTCTGTGGAGATAAGAGCCATAGCTTTTATCAGATTTTTAGAGGATTCTTTGCCTAGAATGTGCAGAGATCTGAGAGTAGATTTTCTGACTGGCATAGGAAAATGTATTAATACTGGAAGGAAAGATTTAAAGAAAAAATTCTACAGAAAATAAAGCCACTCATTAATATGAAATACACTTTCTTTCTCCATACACATGTACCCACATATATGTGTTTATGTGTTTTTTCAGGCTTGCATTTTTTGAACTCAACTATCAGTTCCATACAACATCCGAACTACAGTCTGAAGTAATAAGACACTATTCAAAACAGGTGTGTCTAAGATTATTTTACAAAGGGACAGTGATACAGACTAGTGAAACCTTATGTATCTGTAAATATATAATGTAGAATTATCAAGGAAGTAAATAGCTATTTTCAAAATTTTAAAGCATTGTTTCCCCTCTCAGAATTATAAAACAAATTGAGCTCAACCACTATTTCAGTTTTTTGTCCTTCTGTTTTTTACCCACTGACAGGAATTTTTTTCTGGATCAGTGTGGACTAGAAATAAACAGATCTTTAAATAAAATATTAACTAAGTAATTTATGACATTTACTTTAAAAATGGGTTCAAGGGAAACTATTAGTAACAGATGAATACAGAATATTTTTTATGTAATTAGTTGTTGAGTCAATAGATATATTACTTTAATGGTTTTTTTCCCACCTCTAGAAAGACTCCTATGTTGTGTGATATAACTTATAGGGCATCTGAGATAGCTGTGATGTAGTGAACAGATCACTGAGAATGACTCGAATGACTGAATTTATTAATATTCATATTTTTAGGCTATTAAACAGATGTATGTACTCATTCTCGGACTTGATGTTTTGGGAAATCCCTTTGGCTTAATTAGAGAATTTTCTGAAGGCGTAGAAGCATTTTTTTATGAACCTTACCAGGTAAAATAGTTATCCTTGTGTTCTGCATTATCTCACACGAATACTTTTAAGATAATACATTTCTATTGTTAATTCGAATTGTAGGTGTAAATAGATTTTGGGAGATACACAAAAAGACATTATTTTGCAACAAACAATGGTAAGAGGTTTTGGGAGGCTTTGTGGGAAATATTTACCTTTTCCCTCAAAATTTAAATTTAAGATTTTGCTAAGATATACTGAATTTCAAGTGCTCTGTTGGTATGTAAATGGTGGATAAACTTCAGACTATAGTAGAAGGAAGATCACCAGGTACAGGCAGTCTTGCTTTGCACAGTAGTGTGGAACTGTAAAAATAATCATGCAGACTGACACCGTACAAAATAATCTTAATAACCAATGGGAAAAATTATGAGTGTTATATATTCCTTAACACTTACTATAAAAAAACTCTCCCACTTTACTTATAAATGTATAGGACAATACAAAATAAAGTAAAGCTAATATTTGTTTTGTACACTGTAATTTAAAACATTAGAAACATTAAGAATGTCGAAGTGTTTATTTCTTTTATTAAAAACTTAGCAGGTTCACCTTTAAAAGTGAACATAAGGCCGGGCACGGTGGCTCACGCCTGTAATCCTAGCACTCTAGGAGGCCGAGGCGGGCGGATTGTTTGAGCTCAGGAGTTCGAAACCAGCCTGAGCAAGAGCGAGACCCCATCTCTACTAAAAATAGAAAGAAATTAATCGGACAACTAAAAATATATAGAAAAAATTAGCCGGGCATGGTGGCGCATGCCTGTAGTCCCAGCTACTTGGGAGGCTGAGGCAGGAGGATTGCTTGAGCCCAGGAGTTTGAGGTTGCTGTGAGCTAGGCTAACGCCACGGCACTCACTCTAGCCAGGGCAACAGAGTGAGACTCTGTCTCAAAAAAAAAAAAAAAAGCGAATATAAACTAACTTACTTACTTATTAATTATTTGGCCTTTTAGGGAGCCATCCAGGGTCCTGAAGAGTTTGTGGAGGGAATGGCACTAGGACTTAAGGCACTAGTTGGTGGAGCTGTTGGTAAGAAACAGAATGTCTGCCAAGTATTATTGTACTAGAAAGTAATTATGTCATTGCTTTTATTAAAGATATCATAATTTCTTTTAGGTGGATTAGCTGGTGCTGCCTCCAAAATCACCGGTGCTATGGCTAAAGGGGTAGCAGCTATGACTATGGATGAAGACTACCAACAGAAGAGAAGAGAAGCCATGAATAAACAGCCAGCTGGTTTTAGAGAAGGCATCACTCGTGGAGGAAAAGGCTTAGTTTCTGTAAGAAATTTCACAAGGTTTTGAACATTTTAGGAAATAATCTTTTAAACCTATATATATATATTTTTTTATTTTAATTTATTGAGGATATTATAGGGGTAAAAATATTTTGGTTACATATAATGCGTTTGTACCGCCCAAGCCAGGGCTACAAGCATGTTCCTCCCCCATACAGTACGTTCTGCTTCCATGAGTTCTGGGTTAACCCCCAACCTCTTCCACCCCTCATCTCCCCACCCCCCCACCTGACTGGCACCCAATGAGTATTACTACCATTTTAGCTCTTTGAGGTATCTCCAAATTACTTTCCACAGGGGTTGTACTAATTTGCAGTCCCACCAGCAGTGTAAGAGTGTTCTAATTGCTCCACACCTACACCAGCATTTGTTGTTTTGGGACTTTTTGATAAGGGCCATTCTCACTGGAGTTAGGTGATATCTCATTGTGGTTTTGCTTTGTGTTTCCCTAATGATTAGTGATGTTGAGCACTTTTTTATATGTATGCTGGCCATTAGTTTGTCTTCTTTTGACTCTCATTTCTTAAATTATTATTTGGATATTTTAAGAATAGTGGGTGGTAGCATATAAAATATGTCAAAAAATCCTGTTTAAATAAAATACTCAGGAAATATGAGGGTGTCTGGAAAATATCTAGCCATTGTTAATATAATGAGAACAGTTACATGGCTGGATGCTTTCCAGACAGCCCTTGTATGTTAATTCTTATGGTATATAAAAAGCCAAACTCTGCATTTTTTGTGTAAACAAGACTTGGTTCCTCTAGGCATCATATGAAAGTATTATAAATTTTCAATTGTGTTTTCCCTTTAGGGTTTTGTAAGCGGCATAACAGGAATTGTTACAAAACCAATCAAAGGCAAGTATAGTAGTTTCTTTGTGTGGTGTGTATTACCAAGTCTTTCATAAGTTGATTCTATTTTTGTTCTTGAATCAATTGTCTAAATCTTTATCTTTTTTCTTTCTAGGGGCTCAAAAAGAAGGAGCAGCTGGTTTCTTTAAAGGTGTTGGGAAAGGTTTAGTTGGAGCAGTAGCAAGGCCAACTGGAGGCATCATAGACATGGCTAGTAGTACATTTCAAGGAATAAAAAGGTAAATTCCCTTTGATGTAAGATATGAGTAAAATGCTTAAGCCATGAGAAATGAAATATATCTGCTGTTTGGCTTCAGGCACTTAGTTATTATCTTAGTTTTGTGCTGCTATAACATAATACCACTGACTGTGTAATTTATAATGAACATAAATTTATTGACTCATGCTTCTGGAGGCTAGAAAATCCAAGATCGAGGGGCCACATTTGGCAAGGGATTTCTTGCTGTGCCATCCCATGGCAGAGGGACAAAGAGAAAGGGAGAAAGAAAGAGAAAAGAGGACTAACTTTTCCTTTTATAGTGAACCGACTCCTGCAATAACAGCATTAATCCATTCATGAGGGCAGATCCTCATGGCCGAATTATCTCTCATTAGACCCCACCTCCCAGCACTAACAAATTAGGGGTTAAGTTTCCAATATTTGCTTTTAAGGGGACACGTTCAAACCATAGCAGTTATGAAAACTACAATATAGTAGATTGCATATAATCTTTTTAATTCCTTTCAATATTTTTTAAGTTGCTCCCATTACATTATTTCAACTTTATATAGAGTTCTCCTTTATTGTTCATTCATTACACTCAGCTTTGTAGGAGCAGTTTGGCAAGTTAAGCAAGCTTTTCAGTTATCTTAGTTGGAAATACATTAATGTAATGCTATATGTCAGTTATAAAATTGGCAAATACATTCTGTCTTCATTTTTGAGAAATAAAGAATGGTATGTTATATTCTTGGTGCAGACTCAGTTCGTCCTCATGCTTCCTTTAGGATCTTATTTTTTTTTATAAAACTGTTATAGCAGACCTTCCTATCCACAGAGGATATGTTCCAAGACCCCAAGTGGATGCCTGAAACCACAGATAAGACTAAACCCTATATATACTGTGTTTTTTCACATACATACATACCTATGATGAAATTTAACTTTAAATTAGGCACAGTAAGAGATTAATAACAATAACTAATAATAAAATAGGACAATTATAACAATATACTGTAATAAAAGTAAAATGAGGGTTACTTGAACACAAGCACTGTGATACTCCAACAGATAACGAAGATGCTACTAAGTGACTAGCGGGCAGGCAGCATATAAAGTGTGGATATGCTGGATAAAAGGATTATTCACATCCCAGGAAAGACAAAGCAGGATGGTGTGAGATTTCATCACACAGTCAGAAGAGCATGCAATTTAAAACTTATGAAATGTTTATTTTTGGAATTTTCCATTTAATATTTTTGGACCATGGGTGACTAAAACTGCAGAAAGTGGAACCGTGGATAAGGGGAGACTATTGTATGTCCATTCCCTTTCTCTTCATTTGTGCAAGTAATTTTAATACACATTCGTTTTCCTCCAAATTAAATTTGGCTTAAGGCTGAAAGTTAGTAGTTTCCTCATTGTTACCTCTGTCCTAGAAATTTGTAACACATACAGTGGATGATGAAATTAATGCTAATGAAACCTAACTTAGAAAGTTAAGTGGATGGATACCTTCCTAATCTTTTTCTGTTATTTTCTCTTACTTCCTACTCTATAGGGATAAGTATTGTCATCATCTGTGCTGTTCCTCCTACTGGTAACCATAATTAGGTGTTTCTGTTTTACAATTTAGAATTAAGATGTGAAGAAAGAGGTCAGTCTCCTCCACCTATGCTTTAGTTTCGTAACTATAATGTGTTGAGTCATCATCAGAGAAGCTTAAAAGTCAATGTAACATACAGAATTCAAGACCTAAAAGCTTCTGCCAAGAGCTGCTAGAACTATCTTCTATTTATCTAAAACCCCCTACCCATTTACATTATCTTTAATGATTGAGGGCAAAATAAAACATAATTTAGAAAAATTAATAAAGACTAGGCTATTAAAAGATGTACTTGTGAAGGACATTGAAAACAAGGAGGAATGAGTTACAAGAATCCAAAATGAAAATATAAATTGGTGGATAAATCTAATTGAGCTATGTGAAAACAACTTTGGAACCAAATTTATTAATAATAAAATGGGCCGGGCACGGTGGCTCACGCCTGTAATCCTAGCACTCTGGGAGGCCAAGGCGGGCAGATTATTTGAGCTCAGGAGTTCGAAACCAGCCTGAGCAAGAGCGAGACCCCGTCTCTACTAAAAATAGAAAGAAATCAATCGGACAACTAAAAATATATAGAAAAAATTAGCCAGGCATGGTGGCGCATGCCTGTAGTCCCAGCTACTCAGGAGGCTGAGGCAGAAGGATCGCTTGAGCCCAGGAGGTTGAGGTTGCTGTGAGCTAGGCTGACGCCATGGCACTCTAGCCCAGGCAACACAGTGAGACTTTGTCTCAAAAAAATAAATAAAACAAAATACAATTTGGGATGAGAATCTTGGCATTAAGCATTCTAATGTTATATTATTTGTGAATGGGATATATTTATTAATATTAGATGAAACAGGCTTTAAAGCAAAAAAAGCATTGAGAATAAGTAAGGTAATTAACTATTGATAAAAAGAACAATTAACTAGGAAGATAATAACAATTTTGAACTTCTACTTGGTTCCCAAAATAGCCTCAATTTTTATAAAACAAAAATTGACAAAGTTATAAGAACTTTCCAAATGTACAGTAATGGTGGAAGAATTTAATATTTCTCTCAATAATTGATAGATCAGAAAGATAAAAGTGAATAAATAGATGATTTGAACACAGTTAACAAGCTATCTCATACACAGGTGTAAATATGGATTCAACACATTTTAGGGAATATCTTCTATGATCTAGACACTGTTCTAATCACTGCAGTGAGTAATCAGCAATGAACACAATTGTCAATGTTCCTGTCTTTAGCTTACATTCTAATGGGAGAGTAATAAAAATAAGTAACTGGTAAATATATGGTATGCTGAATGGTGGAAAATGCTTTAAAGAAAAATAAAGTAGATTTAGAAAATAAGGAGATCCAAAGTGATGGGGAGGAAGGTTGCTATTTTATATATACATTGTTCAAGAATGCTTTACTGGTATGATTACGTTTGAAGAGATACGTGAAGAAAGTAAGGGAGTGAGCCATGGGAGAAGAATGTCCCAGGCAGAAGGAATGGCAAGTCAAAAGACCTGATGTAGAAGTATGCTTGGCTATTTGAGCATGCCTGGAGTAAGCAAAGGGGAAAGTTGGAAAAGATGGTATCAGGGAATGAGCAGAGGATTAGAGCACATAGAGCTTGGCAAGCCACTGTAAGGGCTTAGCCTTTTTCTTGAGTAAGACAAGAAGTTGTTGGAAGGTATTGTGTCAGAGAAATGATGTGAGCTGGTTGTTGTGTTGAGAATAAATTACAGGGGGATCACAGTTGAAATAGTGGAAAACTTAAGAGGCTTTTGTGGTAATCCGAGTGAGAGATGGTGATTTGACTATTACAGTGCTCTAGAGGTTCTAAGATTTTGAAGGCAGTCACAGTAGGATTAGTTGATAAATTAGATGTGGGATATGAAAGAAAGAGAATCATCAAGGATAATTCTAAAGTTTTTATATGTACCACTGGAAGGATGAGGTTGCCATTCCTTTTAGGTATTAGATATTACCTCTTGAATATATTAAGCTTAAAATATCTCTAAGACATCCAAATGGAGGCATCAAGTAATTGAGTGTAAGAGTCTAAAGTTTAAGAGAGAGTTAAAAATTTGAGATTCGTGAACCTATAATTGAATGTTTAAAATCGTGAGATTGGATGAGATCACCTAGTGAATGAGAATGGAAAAGAGAAAAAAGAGGTCCAGGGACTTGACTCTCAGGCACACCAACCTTAGAAGTTTGAAAAATGAGGAAGAACCAGGAAAGGAGACTGAAAAGGAATGGTCATTAAGGTAAGGAGGATAATCAAGAAAGTGGTATTCACAAGCCAAGAAACAGACAGTCCCAACTTATACAATATCATTGTTTAAGAGATAAGAGAAATGTAGCCCCCCCATTTTGTGCATGAGTATGATAAGTTTGATTCGAAAGCCAGATGTGGAATTTACAACAGGCGAATCATTCCTCTCCCTACCCTTGCAGTCCCTTCTGCTTAAAATACTCTTCCCCCAGTTGTCAGCATGGCTCACTTCCCTTACTCAAAAGTTATCTTCCCAGTGAGGCTATGACCACTCTAAAATTTCAATTTACTCCCCTACCCCTACCCCCACCCCCACTCCCACCCCAGATGCTTTTATTTCTCTTCTCTCTCTTATTTTTTATCTCTTTAGCTCTTTGACCACTATTTAATATACTATATATTTTACCCTGTTTGTCTCTCCTGCTAGAATGTAAGTTCCATGCATATAGTGGCTCATGTCTCTTTTCACAGCACTTAGAATATTGCTTGACATGTGGTAGTTTTTTTTTAAATTGAGATAATTGTAGGTTTACATACAGTTGTAGGAAATATGCAGAGAGATTTCCTGTATACTGTATTATGGTTTCTGTGGCCACTGTAACAAATTACCACAGTCTTAAACAGCAGAACTTTATTTTCTCATAGCTCTGGAGGCCGGAAGTCTGAAATCAAGGGGTCAGCAGGGCCACACTTCCTTTGGAGTGAAGAATTTGTGCCTTGCCTCTTCTTGCTTCCAGTGGTTATAGGGTACCTTGACTTGTGGCTGCACCACTCTAAACTCTGCATCTCTGCTTTCATCTTCATTTTGCCTTTTCCTTTATGTGGTCTAATCTGCTCTCTGTTGTGAGGACACTTAGGATGGCATTTACAGCCTGCCTGGATAATTCAAGATCATCTCTTTATCGCAAAATCCTTAATTTAATCACAGCTTAGACTTTAACGTATAACCTGTATAAGATAACACTCACAGGTTCCATGGATTATAACCTGATATATTTGGGAGCCACCATTCAGGCCACTATATTTACTTTGCCCATTCCCTCTATAACAGTAACATTTTACAAAACTATAGTATAATACCGCAGCCAGGATATTGACATTGATGTAATCCACTGATCTTATTCAAATTTCTCCAGTTTGACTTATACTCATTTG